AATTAGTATATCGAGAAAAGGAATTTGGTGATTTTGTTCTTTTTCAATAGTGAATTTAATTGTTGGTACTTTATTATTCAGATAAGATAAAAATTCATCAATTTTTTGTTCGCCATGACTGTAAATGGAGAATACGTCATCAATATAACGCCACCAAATTATTGGTTTAAATTTGTAATTATTAATGAAAGTTGATTCAAAATTTTCCATAAATAAATTACTAAAGAATGGGGATAGTGGTGACCCCATAGCCATTCCAAAATTTTGTTGATAAAAATTGTCATTGTATTGAAAGTAAGTTGACTTTACACATATTGTTAAAAGTTCAATAATGGTGTTAATGCTTAGTTGTGTGCGTTCTTTTTTTTTCTTCATGATACTGTTATTTCGAAGTTTCTCTTGCCTTATTTGAGCCTCATAATTCGTTTTGGCATCATTGGATAGATAAGTAAAAATTCGATTCAGTCCTAACAATATGGGTGTATAAATTCTAGTAGTTTTCACCCTGAAAGCGAAATTTGAATATCAGACACTTAAGTGCAAGATTATGCCACAATTTTAGATTTTCCGTCCCGTTTTTGTTCATTTCTCGGAAGCAAAATGAGAAAAAACGCTCACTTTTACATCATTCCAGAGAGAACTAAATGGCCTTTTTATAAAGTGAACCACCGATAAGCAAATGTTGGCAGTTTTCTCAAAAAAGTCTTGATTTCAAAAAGTTTTTGATTTGCGTGTTTTTTTTGAGTTGCAAAATCGACTCAAACATGGCTCTGCTTTTTTCGAAGTTTCTCAAGAACCATTTGAGCCACATAATTGGTTTTGGCGTCGTTGGATAGAGAATTGTCGAGTTGTTAAGACCCGGAAAGCAAAATTTGACTATCCGAGCTTAAGCTTAACACTTAGCTGTAAGATTATGCCAACATTTCATGTTTTCCGTCCCATTTTTGCGCATTTCTCGGAAGCAAATTGAGCAAGAATAACTTTCATATAATTCCAGAGAGAACAAAATGACCTTTTTAGAAAGTGAACCATTGATAAGGCCAGTTTTCTAAGAAAGTCTTGATTTCAACAAGTTTCATGAAGTAGAATTTCAGTCTTTTGTTGCCTACGAAATTAGAAAAATTATCTTTAGTCGACATAAACCCAGCACAAGGGGGGGTCATGAGCCCCATGACCCCCCCATAATCCCGTGTTGGATATTCAGTAGGTATAAAGTCGGAAGCCGTAAAGCTTCTCAAAAGTCTTAAACTGGTTCGACGGAGCATTTGAAAGAGGAGCAAACACATTTCCATTTAATTTTATTTTAAATAACACCATATGAATTATTAAAACAGTTCTTCCTCACTTTTTTCAGTTTATACGGTTTTGATTTCAGGAACTTGAAGCTAACAATATCGAGCCGTTGGTTACGTTGTACCATTGGGACTTGCCCCAGCACTTAAGCGAGTTGGGCGGTTGGCTCAATCCTCAAATTGCTGATTATTTTGGAGAATACGCGCGACTGGCATTCAGCCTGTTTGGTGAACATGTGAAACGTTGGACAACCGGTAAGTGTTTCAACAACAAAAGAACTTTCAAGTGAGATACTCAAATCAGCACAACCCCTTTGGCGAACATATATTTGGGGCAGCGTGGTCAGAAGCAAAAGTTCAATTATTTTTGGATTCTTACAAACTATTTCAATTTTCAATTAAGTCACTCAATATATTGATTTAGCTAAATCAGACAAAACAAAAATGCGACTTCAATTTTACATTTCATTTTTCAAATACTGTTTGCTATTTGGTTTCTCCTTTGAGGGCTAACAACCCCCGAAATTCTCCTGGAAAATTGGATCTTTTATACCTCAGATCACTGTTCTACTTACATTTGATCCCTGTAAACTATCAAGGGCTTTGCTTTGGATGTGTGAGCCGCCAAACCTTTATGGTAAAAAAATGGTTAAAGTTAAAAAATGCACCCATTTAAAAGCGCATTTAATTTATATTTTTCTGCCTCTTGAATATTTTTTGTTAAGCACAATGTCTTTGGAAAAAATGTGCAAAATGTGATCGATTGTATTATCAGATTTGGTACTCGCATGAGAAATAAAGACTAAAATTTCTCAATTTAATCAGTCGCCGGTTTGGTATTTTATTTGAGAAACAAGCTAAAGAAGATTTTTAAGAGCGACAAAAAATCGCGAGGCATAATTGATTTGCAAAATCATGCGATCAAATTATGTTGCTTTTATTCTTGGACACCTTCTATATGAAGAAAAATGGGTGGCATGTTTTAAGCCATTTCAATATGTGGCAGTGATTTCAAGTCTCAAAATTAATTGTGCGTAAAAATGATGCTGGAAAAGAATTTAGGCGCAGTTCAAAGGAAAGTAGAAAATGTTATCTTTAAGTTATAACGGGTTTTCGTTCTCAAATGACTATTTGAGCTTGATTCAGACGTATTCGATACAATAGAACATCGAATATTGTTCAATAACGGCCCAATTCATCTTACATTTAATCAAAATTATTGCAGTAAATGAGCCAAAATCTACATGCTTGTTGGGCTACGGAAACACTTACAATGCGCCTGGAATCAATTTGATTGCTGATGGTGTCTACCAGTGTGCTAAAATACAACTTCTAGCCCATGCCAAGGCCTGGCATATTTACGATGAAGAATTCAGACCAACCCAACAAGGTGAGAATCTATTAGACCACGATTTATTAGAGAATTTTCATGACTGGTAAATTTCAGGAAAAGTTAGTCTGGTGTTGGACACACCTTGGAATGAGCCAGCAAGCGACAGTGAGCTGGATCAAGAGGCAGCCGAAAGAGAAATGGAGTTTGGGGTGAGTCAATTAATAGAAATAGTGAGAAAATTAATACCATGTTTATTCCAAATCCATGTCAAAGTAAATTGAAAATGTTTATGTCTCTAAGAAAATGATGCTTAAAAATTTTCTTATACAGGGTGGATTTTTAGTGCGAGAGAGTTCATTATTTCCGTTGGTGTTAAACTTTCGAAAAATAGTTTCATGTAAAAGTGGTTGACGCACAAAGTGCGTCCATTTTAAAAATATCTTATATGATACAAAGTGACCCAGAAAAGCGAGGCAAGATCAATCTTACAAAATGTACCAACTTTTTGAAATTTTTAAATAAAATAAATTATAATTTTGAAAACGCCCAGATAGCACACAAATATTACAGTAATATTTTTTTGCAATATTTAATATAGGTTGAAGCGACAGATTCTTGAATATTATAACAATATTTCTT